TTAATTAATAATATTATTAAAATTAATATTTTTTATAAGTTGGGACCTTTACTGTGCATAGTCCACATACTACATAAGAGACTCGTATAAAACAAAGGACCCATTAAAATGATATAAAAATAAAAATTAATAAAAAATTAAAATCCATTTAATTTCCATTTAAAAACACTTGGGTTGAACTTGAACCAACTCAGCTCAAATGGGTATATCTTAAGGTTCCTTCCATTTGTTGTGACTCAATTTCAAATTACTGTATAGTTACAATGCAAGGGACTAGGGATGCAACTTGGGCAAGTCCAACCTGAGCTTGAACTGACCCAACTTGCTTTTTTGCATGGGTTGGGCTTCCATTTTCGGTCCTTGGGTTGGGCCTAGGACAGAATTCTTTTGCTTTTCTATTTTTAAATGTTGGGCTTGGAACTAGCCTTTAGGTAGCTATATCTTGGCTTATACCCAACTTGAACTTATACTAATCCGAGCCTAGGCCAACTATACAAAAGCAACTTTTAGTGACCTTACTCAATTTAAACCTAATATGCTGATTAATAAAACAACAAAAAAAGAAAATTTTAATTTCAAAATTAAATCTTATAATTTGATATCCATTTAAATTTTATTTAAGAAATAAAATGATATTACAATTTGTTGATAAAATTAAAACATTAACAAAATTATTAGTTTTAAACCTAATTATTATTAAATTAAAATCCTCTAATGCATTTAAAAATAACAAAATTTAATACAATTAGGAATGTCAAAATGCTCCTACTTGGGGTGCAAGTTGCATGGGTTGGGTCAGGTTGAGGGTTAACCCAAAGTCTCAAACCTCGAACTTAGGCTTGGCCCAACTCAAGGTTAAGCCTAAGTTTACCAACCCAGCCCCAACCTAAGCTTAAACCCAACATCTCAAGATTAGCTTGTACTTGGGCAAGTTTAGCCTTATAATCCAACTTTCAGGTAGAATAGATTGATAATATATATCTCATAATATGTTGGGTGAATGTAGATTAGGTCAGGTGGAGCTTGGGCTACTTGAGACCTCAATCCAAACCTAACATAAGTTTAGGTTAGGTCTGAGTTTTTTGGTCAAAGCCCAAACTAAAGTTTGAAAACTCAAGCCCAACCAGTGCTAAAGCTTTGATTGAGCCAGAACAAACTTGGGCTTGGCCCACCCAAGTTGCACCCCTAACTCCTTTTATCTCAAATTCTTTTAATAAAGCCCATGCCTCGCACAGTCCCGGCTGGTAATACAAATAGTTCATCCATCAAGAAAAAGTTTAGGTGTCTATTAAAATTTTCTATAATCCCATATTTGCCCTTCTCTTCTCTCATACCTCTAGGGGTGCAAATGGATCAGATCATGATCCGATCCAAAGTCCAACCCTATTTTGTTGGATTTGGATATAGGATCAGATAATATGATCCGATTAAAAATCGGATCGGATTCGGATCACCCCTATCCAATCCAAAAGGTATATTGCATTTTTGTAAATTTTTAATAAAAAACATGTATGTATATATATATATATATATATGATGAAAATAATTGAAAAATATACTTATATTTTTTGTTTTTCTTTATTCAAACTGTCATATTTTTCTTTTAATAATTTATTAACTTTTTAAAAATTAAATCGGATGGGATCATATTCGGATATCCAACATTTTTGTTGGATTCAAATTCGAATCAATATTAATGAGATTCAATCAGATCTTTGGATCAAATTTACAGTTTATCAAATCAAATTTCAATATACCCTGATTCGTATCCAATCTGATCCGTTTGCATCCTTTACATACCTCTCCCAACTGAACAAACCAGCAGTAGCACAACTCCCCATTCCTTCTCTTTCTCTTTCTCTCCATCTTTTTCTTTTTCTCCTCCTCCTTCCGGTGTCACCTCCACTGAAATTTCTCAGAATCCACCACTATTTCCGCTCTCTTCATCATCATCGCCATTATCATCATCTTCTCTTTGGATCAAAATATGGAAGAAGCTCCAATGATAACAGTCAGAAGTTCCACTCTGTATTCTGGATTTTCATGAAGCCAAGACCATCATTGTCACAAACCTCATGTTTATATTAGACAGCTCAGCTGTTGAAATATGGACTAAACTGTTCAAACTGCCTCATTATTCACTCTATCCTCGATTGCATGTTTAGAATGGATGCATTTATCCATTGTTTCTGAAGGCCTGAGGAAAAAATAAATAATAATGTTGGATACAGAAATGAAAGAGGGTTCTTATTGAATTCAAAAGAAATCGGTGGAGGAATACGACACAGTGGTTGATGTTCAATATTGTTTGTGGGTATCTCTCATTTCCCATCACGCTAAAGATTGAATCATAAGCCCTTTTGGAAGGGATTCCTTGGATACGATCCTTGTGAAGACATTGATAAGGGGGGTATTCGACAACACAGTTTTGTTTTTGAAAATGAAAACACTACGGGGTGTTCAATTTTAGATTTTGAGAGGGGAAAATGGGAAAGTTGATCAATGAGATTTTGATTCTTATTTATCAAGAAATTCATGCTGTTTTTTCAGATTTATGTAGAGACCAGGGAAAGTTTATTTTCGTGGGTAAGTGATACCCATCTCTAGGGGTGAGCATTATTTGGTTAAAACCAAAAAACTGAACAAAAAAATTTCAATTTCGGTTTTTTTGGTTCAGTTAATTCGATTTGGTTTTTTCGGTTTTTAAATATTTTGGTTTTGGTTTCGGTTTTTAAAATTAGATATTTGGTTAACTGAAAAAACCGTTGATTTGGTCAATGAACCACTGACCGGGCAGTCGAATCGTTCAAACCATTGACCCGGACAACAGTTTTTGGCCTTTTTTTTGTCAGAATGGGCCATCTGTTCAGTTCGAATGGATGAACCATTCGACCTCAGTTTTAAAAACCTTGGGTAAATAACTTTCCCACCTAGGGGAAAAGTCACTAACACTTGAGTTGGACAACAATGCCCCTTTTAATAATAATGAATTTTTATGGTTAAAATGGTTATTAACTTATTTACTTGGGAAATAAAAGAACATGGGTAAGTTACTTACCCGGGTAAGTCTTTCTTAGGAAACACTTATCTGGGTAAGTAACTTACCAAAAAGAAAACAAGGCCTACATGTCAACAAATCAAAAATACAATCAACCATGTTGCGAACAAACCACATTTTTACATCATTTATAGAGTTCTTACAAGGTTTCTCTCCCAGCGCTCTCAGGATAAGTTTCTATTTTCATTAGTAATTTGGTCTGGGATATCTTTTTTATTTTTTGACTGTTACTGCTGATTGTACTCTCATGGATTGTATCTGGGCATTCTTAATGAAATTAGCCATTGCCTTAAGGCATTAAAAAGAAAGAAAAAAAAAAAAAAAAGCTATGGGCAATGGTAGGTTTCCAGTAAAAACTAAATCGATTAAACATTAAGGTTGTATGTGGTACCACTGATGTTTCTACTTTAAATATTTTGGATTGATCAATACAAATTGTTGAGAGGTGTGATGTTGCATCATATATGAGAGTCACTAGGCCCCTATACATGCATTTTTAAGATATAATATGCACCTTTCAACTATAAGCACCCTTAAAATAACAGTTGCATGTCAAAATTTGTATTGATCAACCCGAGATGATGACTAAGTAAAAACAGCAATGGTAAGGTATGCAAGGTGCCAATCTATTGGTTGGTAAGGTCCCTTACTGGTTGTAGCGGAGACTTGGGATCCAATCCTACCTACACTTGAGTTGGGGAGAGTGCTTTATGGGTTTGAGGGATGGGAGTATAGTATAGGCCCTTGGCAAAAATGAAACAAAAAAAAAAAAAATAGAAACAACAATGAGTCAATGATATCAAACACAACCTAAGAATATAATAAAATAAACAAACAAAAAGTAACACATTCCAACCTAATCAACTTGAACTAACGATCCCATGATTCATTACTTATGTATAAAATATTAAATATGAAATTATTATTGGTGTTATATTATAATATTTATATATAAATAAAAAAGTATAAACATACATACATAATTATGTAAAAATAACATCTACATAAATGGTCACCCTAGACTTCTCTCCCCATTTGTCTTTCCGTCTTTTTCCTTCTTCCCCTTGATCTTTCTCTCTGTTTATCTGTTGATTTGATTTGGGATTTTTTTTGTTTCCTCCAGGTTTTGGGGCTGCCTTATAATGAGGTCTTCAGACTTCAATGGGAGTTTTTATTAATTTATTCGATTTTGTTCTAATATTTTCTATTTCATCTTTTTCCCTTTATCACATAATGTCTAAATTAAAGGCCTTATTTATTTCCTTTTTTAATTCCTTTTGAACTCATTGAGATACTGATTCTATAGTTGTTCATTTTAAATGGAGGGTGGTGCTATCTTAAGGAGAAAGCAATTGCTGCTGTGCTTTTCATGGAGTCTAAAAAAGAAGTATAATTAAATATTAAATTTCCATTTTACTTTACATCTGGGTATGACTGAAAAATTCTATTGTACACATTGTGGCTCATCAAATTCTATTAAAAATTAGAACCAGATGACTTCTAATCCATTATTAATGGATTGGCTAGAGAAGCTTCAAATAGATAAGACCAGAAACCGTGCAAAAATGTTTAGGTATTAAAACATAATCTGTATCCCTTTCAGTTGTCTAATGCCATAATTTCTTTGGCAATTTTGTAGTTTATTTTAACTGAAATCTGTAGTTAAAGACTTCTATAGTGATTCACCAATTTAAGTGGAAAAATGAGGATTTCATGTTACAAAAGAAATATTGCATGATCCATAAGTAAAATAAATACAAGATTAGGGTACTTAACCAAGTATGTCCCAAGTGAAAATACCAATAAACCTTTATTTAAGGGCAAATGTCCAACACAAGTGGCTGTTCATTAAGGGTATTTATAAAAAAGGGGCATAATCAAATCATTCCCCACAAGAACAAAAAAGGAGTAAAAAAAAGAAAGAAAAAGAAAGAGAAATGATCTAATCAAGGCAGGACACTGGTGGTTCTACTGAAGCTTTGGCGGTTCCATGTGCATTCAGGCAATAGGAGGTGGCATTCTTCCCCGGCACCAGAGTTGTTAGTTGAATGTTCTCCAAGAGAATATCTGTGCAGGCAACTGTTTGGCTACAGGCAAGACTGATGGCATCTTCTCTGGTAGAGGTCCCATGTATGTTGATGAAGGAAACATTGCTTACTTTCACAGCTGATGTCTTCATAATTGATCCAAAATCAGAGAAAATCTTATCAGCAATTCACAGCAATTGTATATACTCGATTAGTCAATTTTCCTACATGAATGAAATCAACTTTATTTTCTAGACTTCATCCTCATTTTGTTTAAGGGTTGGACAGGCAATGGCCTCAGGAGCTGCCCAGTCTCTCACCTATGCTAGGGGTGCAAATTGGGTGGGCTCAATCTGAGCCTAGACTGACTCAGTCCACAATTTTACACAGGTTGGGTCTGGGTTTTTGGTCATTGGGCTGGACCTGGGCCAGGATTAGCTCTTAGTAGTCTAAACCTGGCCCAAAATTATCCCACCCAAACCTGCCCAATATTCATACAAATATATGTATAGACATACATGAATATAAACATCTATACATTTATGTCAAATTTTAGTGCAGGCAGATTTATCAACCCAAGTCCAGCCGAGTGCATCAAATTTCAGAACAGGCTTGACCACGGGCTCGGGTTGGGCAGAGATCATAGGCCCAATTCTTAGGGTTGGGCTTAAACCCAGCCCAGCCCGCCCACCACCCCTCTCTCTGAGGAAGAAGAAGAAGAAGAAAGAAAGAAAGAAAGAAAGAAAGAAATTGGTATTATGGTAAGAGACTCTAACCTCATTTTTGCAGTGGTTGCCACCACAGTAGTACTGGTCAATAACTATAGGGTGATCGACATTGTTTACGTTGATATTCTGGAACTTGATCCCTCGAGCATAACCAGATCCTCCCTACAGAACTCAGAAAACCAAGTAAGAAATGGAGAAATTTTCAGTTTCTTCTACATTTGTTGTATGAACAATTTTCCAACCAGTTTTTCTCACATTAATGAAAATCTGCAGAATCGGTTTCCTTTACCTGCCATGTCTTTATCCTAACTCCATTCATTGATCCATTGAAGTTGCAGTTTGAGACCACTACTTGTTCCACTGAATCTTCTTCCCCAGAATCTCCCAGGCTTCCAACGCTATGAATTACAGTGGAGATATAAACTATTAGTCCTTCACTGTTTGATATGATTCTGAGAATCTCTACAACAAATCTCTCCATTTTCTCATATTTTCAGTTAAAATACCTTATACCATGGCCAGGCCCACATTTAACTCCATTAATGTAGATATTCGAGCTTCCTGTTTCAATCGAAATGCAGTCGTCTCCTGAAACAAAAGAACCATGAGAACATATTACAAAATAGATAAACTCTTATCTGGTAATGACAAATTGAAAGAAAAAAATATAAACAGAAATACCTGTCTGTATGATTGAGTTCATGACCTCAACATATTGGCAGCCAGCAATGTGTATACCATCTGTGTTTGGGCTATCTTTAGGTGCTGTTGCTGTTATTTGAGAAATCTGAACATTAACACAGTGGTTAAAGACCACATGCATCCTTGGGCTGTCAACAAAATTCAACCCCTTCAACTGGGAATTATTGCAAGATCTGACTTCAAGGGCAGCCTGCATTAAACCATAAATTAAGGGAGAAAATCTTTGAAATAAACAGTTACAGATTTAAAAAAAAAAAAAAAAAAAAGAAAATGAAGAAGAATTGGCACTTACATCCGGTGTTGATGAACATTTCTGCAATAAGAAATAGAAAAAATATTGAGTATATAATAGTGAAGCAGTATAAGAAACTGTCAAGCTTTGATCATATATCTTAACAATGAGACTGAGAAATTTACATCACTTCTGCAGTTCCACCAGTAGGAACCTTGCCCATTAATCTCACCCGACCCACTAATAACAAGGCCATTAATTGAATCAAACAAAATCCAATGCCCTTTGTCAGCATCTTTATTCCATGCTGAAGCATCAACTGGTGCAACTATATTTCCTGATATCTGCATTTTAAGATTTTAAATTAGAACTGCATATATAAAAGTAGTTAGGATAAACTGCTTCAGTAGAGGGAAAGAGTGTGAGATAACTATTATGTTGGTCATATATTATTTTGAGTACCTGAACTTGAACATTGGTGGAGTTGCAGGGTCCTTTAAATGTAACAGGATTCAACAAGAAGGTCTTTGGTGGGATATCTAAGACTGAAGGTCCTGGTGCTGCACAGACCATGGACCATGCCTTCAAGAATGCCTTCAAGGTAAAAAACAGAAAAGCAAGTATTATCTTTTCAATATTTAACTTTGCCAAGTTCAAGAAAAATCAAATGGGTTCTATTTTGCAGTTATAACAAGTAGAGAGAGAGAGAGAGAGAACTTGTGAATCATCTGTCTTGCCATCTCCAACTGCACCAGAGTCAATGACATTGAAAAGATAGGGGGAAGGTTCATTTAACATAACCCGTTGCAAGCGAGCCAATCCAAATAAAGAGAAGCATAATAACACAAGCGGAATGATGAAAAAACCCTGCATAGAAGAAGAAAAAGAACCCAAGAAAACCCACTGTTATACCTTCACGAATAGAGGAAATGTAGTATCTAAAGCTAGCATCTCTTTTCTTATTAATGATGATAACCCAATTAAGCTTATCACCATATAATGGTATTAAGCAGAGTGTACAGATGAACTGCTAGAATGTGAGTTTGTGTCCTCACCTTGGCATCCATGACTGCAAGAAAAGTCTGTCTGTGTGATGAATAAACCATCCGTTGCAAGCTTCATACTTATATAAGCAAGGATTGCTATGCAAAATGGAAAAGAAAATCTTTTAGATTGTGGTAACAGTTTATTTAGTTGACAAATAAGGTGACCAAATTTGTTCCTAGCATATTTGGATTCCCCTTAAAATGTAAGACTCTGAAAGGTCTCGAGACTGCTAAAGATAAATGAAATGGGTTCAGATGTTTATTCTCTGAGGATCCTACGGTGGATCAGGGGCTCATTACTTGCCATGTGTCTAAACCTCGGTCTGGACCCACAACTGAATGGCCCTCATTTCCCGTCTAAGAGAACCTTTCATGTCCGACAATTATGGGTCCCAAAATTTTGGTAGTATATTTCCTTCTCTCTTCTCTAGATTCTCTGAATTGTCTTAATAATTTGTTTTCGAGTAGCATTTAGATAAGATTGTTAAGTCTTAAGTGATAATTAATATTTATGGGAACAATATCCCTGGTATCCACTCAAAATTCAATTCTTAATTAACTCCTCAGAGAGAAAGAGAAAGAGAAAGAGAAATTTAATTTTTTTAAGCCTAGAAACTTGAAAGACCCATTATATATATATTGATTTCCTTGGATATTCGATTAGGAGTATTTTTAAGAAATCTAAGCAAGAAATTTATTGATAGTGTATTTATAAGGTATGCTGGAAAAAGAGAATTGTACGCTTTGACGTCGCTTGCTTCCAATGATTCAAAAATGCATCGAGTATCAACTAGGGACTACACTTACAAGTTCGCTTGGGCCAATCCGAACTTGAACTCAACCCAACCAGAAAATAAATAGGAAAAAGTGGTTAGGTTGAATTAGGGTTAGGGTCGGAAAATACCAACCACTTGACTGAACTGATATATACTTAACGGGTGAAGTCAAAAACTCAAATCAATAGAAATGGCAATGGGGCGGGGATCATATTCCCCATTCCTCACCCCGATCCCTGTCAAGGATAAAAATTGTTCTCCATCATTGACTCCCGACGGGGATGGGTTTCCCATAGGGACTCAAATCTCTGAAATTTTTAGTTGATAGTATTTTTTTAAAAATAAATAAAAATTTTAAAATAAAATAAATATATTTTGATATATATAAATAATAGAAATAATATCATATATATGGTAATATATATTTACTATATCCGCTAAAACGACCTCGGGTAAAGGAGGCAATTTACTTCACCGAGGATGATGTGCGTGGGGTTCAGTATTCGCATGATGATGCCCTCGTAGTCAACCTAGTGATCAACGACTTCGAGGTAAAACGGGTTCTAGTAGATTTTGGGAGTTCGGCAAACATCTTGTCCCTAGAGGCGTTTGACAAGCTACAGTTGGAGCGGAAGGACCTAAAGCTAGTAGACACACCTCTAGTCGGATTCAGTGGTGATGTGGTGAGGCCCCTCAGTCGAGTTACAGTTCCAGTTGCAGTAGGAGCATGACCCAACTTGGTGCGCTTTGAGCACACGTTCTTGGTGGTCGTGACTCTGTCCTCCTACAATGCCATCCTAGGTTGGCCCATCTTGCATGTCCAACGTGCAGTGGTGTCGACCTACTACTTATCCAGGAAGTTTCCAATGAGCTACGGAGTAGGGGTAGTATGAGGTGACCAGCATGAGTCCCGCAATTGCTACATAGCCGCACTAAAGGGCAAGGCAAAGTTGGCGGACGACGTCGAACTAGAGCCACCCCCCGAGCACACCGAGGAGCGAGCTGCCCCGATGGAGGAGATAGTCCAAGTCCCTGTCTCTGATGCCGAGCCGATGAAGACCCTCCAAATCGGTGCTCTGCTAAGCGAACCACTTCGGTCACAGCTAGTAAGTTTCTTACTCAGCAATTTAGATATTTTTGCCTAGTCCACGATAGAAATGCTCGGCATTGACCCTAGTATAATAACTCATAAACTTAATGCGGATCCCTTAGTCAGGCCAGTTAGACAAAGAAAACGAAACCTCACCCCAGAGCGATGGAGGGTAGTTGATGAGGAGGACGGGAAGCTCTTCACAGCAGACTTCGTTAAAGAGGTCTAGTACCCTAGCTGGATGACCAACCTAGTACTCATGAAGAAAGCCAACGGAAAGTGGCGCATGTGCATTGACTACATAGACCTCAACAGAGCCTACCCAAAGGACTACTTCCCCCTTCCCATAATAGATCGCCTAGTAGACACGACCTCAGGGCACGAGTTGCTAAGTTTCATGGGTGCCTACTCCAGCTACAACCAAATTATGATGGACCTAGCCAACCAGGACAAAACTACTTTTGTAACTGAACTAGGCCTATACTGTTATAAAGTAATGCCCTTCGAATTGAAAAATGTTAGAACAACCTTCCAATGGCTTGTAAACAAAGTTTTTGAACCCTTGATTGGAAATAAAGTTGAATGTTATGTAGACGACATGGTCGTGAAGACCCAGTTTTCAAATTCTTTACTTGATGATTTAAACTCTATTTTCCAAATTCTAAGAAAGTTTAACATGAAGCTCAACCCAGACAAATGTGCCTTCGGGGTCACATCGAGCAAATTCATTGGCTATATAGTGAACCGACGTGGCATCGAGGCCAATCTAAATAAAATAAAGGCTATACTAGATATGAGACCACCCTAGAAAATAAAAGAAGTACAAAGGTTAATTGGCTCGGTAGCCGCCCTAAACCGGTTTATGTCTAAATCGGCGGGTCGGTGCCTACCCTTCTTCAAAGCAATTAAAAAGAATGAGGACTTCAAATGGTCCGAAGAGTGCCAACGTTTGACAAGATGAAGATATACCTAAGTACACCACCAATGTTAACCCAACCTGAAGTAGGAGACGAGCTGAGAAGTAGACTGGGTCCAACGGCATGTCTACTATGTGAGTAAAATCTTGCAGCGGCTGAAACTAGATACCCTGATATCGAGAAGCTGGCGCACGCCCTAGTCATTGTAGCTCAGAAGCTACGCCCTTACTTGCAAGCTCACACAATCGTCATCCTCACCAACAGACCCCTGAAGCAAGTCTTGCAGAAGCCCGAGGTCTCAGGCAGACTGACGAAGTGGACCATCGAGCTAAGTGAGTACGACATTCGGTTCGAGCCACGTCTAGTGATTAAAGCCCAAGTCTTGGCAAATTTTGTTGTGGAGTGCACATTCAACACACTGGGCCCCGAGGTAACTGAGCCAGTTACTACGTCGGAGGTGTCAACCAGTGCAGCACTAGTTTCGGTTAGGGAGGGCCCGACCTGGGATGAGGAGCCCTGGATCCTCCACATTGGCAACTCATCTAATAAGCGAGGAAGCAGTGCTGGACTCATACTGTACGGGCCAAGAGAGGTGAAGCTGGAATACGCTCTCCAGTTCAGATTCGAGGCGTCAAACAATGAGGTAGAGTATGAGGCATTGATAGCCCGCCTGAACTTGGCAAAGGAGATTGGCACGAAGCACATCATAGTATGCAGTGACTCCCAGTTGGTTGTGAACTAGTTAAATGGAGAATACAAGACTCAAGAACCTGCCATTATAGCTTATTTGCCCAAAGTAAGGGAACTTCTGCTCTCCTTCCTCTCCTAGTTTTTCCAGTAAGTGTCAAGGTCAAAGAATGCCGAGGCCGACGCACTATGGAAGTTGGCAAGCACAAGTGACAACACGATGAGGACGGTGTACATAGAAGACATGCCTCGACCTAGCATTCTTGGGGGGCAGAAGAGTTCGCTCCTGTGTTGCAAGTAGAATTAAGCTAGGTTGACCCACATGTTGATTATCTATTCCACAGGACCCTACCAATAAACCATAATGCAGTTCGGAGGGTAAAGCGTTGATCCGCTCGGTACGTTCTTATCGACGGGCGATTATACAAGAGGTCCTTCATGCTCCCCTACTTGCGTTGCTTGCAGCCCTTAGAAGCATACTAGGTAATCCACGAGATCCATGAAGGTCTCTGTGGAGGACACCTAGGGGGCAGGGTGCTCGCCCAAAAAGCACTAAGGCAAGGATACTACTAGCCCACAATGAAAGCGGATGCACTCGAGCTCGTCAAGAAATGCAACAATTGTCAGAGGCATGCCAACATCCTCCATCAACCTGCTGCCGATCTGAAGTACTTGACCAGCCCGTGGACTTTTGCCCAGTGGGGGATAGATATCCTCAGTCCATTCCCACCGACAACCGGGCAGAGAAGGTTTTTGGTCATGGCAGTGGACTACTTCATGAAGTGGGTGGAAGCCGAGCCGCTGGTGATAATCACAACCCAGAACGTAAACACTTTCTAGAAGAAAGTGTTGATATCAGACAATGGGAAACAGTTCGAGGATATCAAGTTCTAAAACTAGTGTGCCGAGATGGGGATCCAGCAGAATTTCACATCGGTAGCACACCCACAAGCGAATGGACAGGCTGAGGTGACGAACAGGACCATCCTCCGTGGACTAAAAGCTCGCTTGGTGCGAGGTAAAGGTTTGTGGGTGGACCAGTTGCCCAGTGTCCTTTGGGCCTACAGAACAACCATCAATATCGCAATAGGTGAGACACCGTTTAATTTGACGTACGGTATGGAGGTTGTTATCCCAATTGAGATCGAAGTACCAACCTACGACTTGAGGCGTATGACGAAGAGGCCAACGACGATGAACTATAGACGAACCTTGACTTTATCGAGGAAATACGCGACCTAGCCTACATCCAGACTATGGCCTACCAACAGCAGGTAGCTCGGTACTACAATGCCCGGGTTAAGAAACACCAGTTCTGAATTGGTGACCTGGTACTTCGGAAGGTGATGGTACCTGAGCCCGGCGTGGGTAAGCTCGGTCTGAACTGGGAGGGTCTGTACAGGGTGAGACAGGTTTTTGGCGAAGGCACATACGAGCTCGAGACATTGGAAGGGAAGCAGATACCCCGTGCTTGGAACATTGACAATTTGAAGAGGTACTACCTATGAGCTCGAGAGTAAGACATGCATAAGATTTCTCCAAGTCCATAAGACCAGCGAGCTTGTCAGGGCGCACAATGGAGAGTGGACTATGAGTCGCTCCCTAAGCCCAAGGGCCGCAGTGCCGAGCTGATAAAAGACCTCGGCGCTAAATAAGGCCCAGTCGCCTCTTCGGCATAGGCAACTTAAGACCTAATCGCCTCTTCGGCATGGGCAACACAGAAAAATTCAGCTCGTGTTCAGCCTCATCAGTGTGCAGACAAGTCGGGCACATACCCTACAGTGTCAACTCACCTCGGCATACATCAACTTCGAATTACTCCTAAATTGTGCCTAGCTCGTTAGCTCGGTACCTTGGGGTAATCTATACTTAAAAAATCTTTTGCAAATATATGTTATGGTACACGAAGTGACAAAAGAGAGTATTTCATTACTTTGTAGCCAAAAAGTTGCTCTAGTACAAGCAAAAAAAAAAACAAGAAGAGAGAAGATTCTACTAAACCAAGCTCGGAGGCTCGGTACATATTGCATTTACAGGGGGTCCAAGAAAAGAGGCAAGTGTTAATCTCCACGGGGCTCCTCACCCCCACCCTCAGCATCTTCAGAAGTGTCCTTCATTGGCTCCTATGCCGCAACGTCTTCATTGACGCCCTCAGTCTCCATGGCTTCTCCAATTACAGTACCCGGGCTACTCGCCTTCTCAATGATTCCCTCATCGGTGCCGCCATCACTCTCCTCCTCAGAGTCAAGGTCTTCTTTTTCAAAATGAAGGACCATCTCCGTGGTGATCCCGAGGGTGGTGACAGACCTAAGGTTGAGCTGAGGGAAGTTATACCTAGTCAACCAACGACAAAGCTTGAAGCCCTTACGAAAGGCCTTAGTAGCGATGTCATCGCAAAATTCATCAAACTTCGGAGAGTTCTTGTAATCCTTGATTGCAAGGACCTCGACATCTTTGATCTTCTACGATAGGACTTCCTCGTGATGAGCAAATTCTTTTTTGACCTCCTCGAGTTGTTTCCTCGATTCTTCGGCCTCAACCCCTAGCCCGTCCGCATGCCTCTTCTCTGTAGCCACGTCGCCCTCGAGCTTCTGAATGTGGCCGACTGCTTTGACCAGTTTACTCTCAGCAGCCAGCGCCTTGGCCTCGATAGCCTAAGCCTTAGCCTCAACTACCTCTACCTTGGCGAAATGCAGTTTGGATTGTTTAATGAATGAGTGAATCATGGAGTTCGTCTGCAAAAAAGAAGAAAATAGTGCGTCAAGAAAGGAAAAATAAAGACATGAGTATAACACGGAGGTCAAAGGAAATGTACCACCATAAGATGTCCTAAAGCCTTTGTAGCGAGCTTATGGGGATTTCCTTGCTCATGGGGATGGCCAACCGAGCATTGAAGACAATCTGGCACTCTTTAGGGATCAGAGAGGAACTATCAACTTCAGGATGATGAGGGCGAGTCTCGGACAACCTGGCTTCCTCGGGCTCGTGAGGTGGGGATTTCGCTCCCTGGTCTTTTTAGACCAGGTCGACGAGGAGGATCCCTTCCTTGGCTGGAGTAGTGGGTGCGGCAGGAACAATGGGCTTAGCCACTACTTCCTAAGGGACATTGCAAGTAGCCTTCCTTTTCTTCCCCTTCTTCATGTTAGAAAATAGCCTGGTGATTGGCACGTCCGACATGGTGCCTGCAACAAGCGAGTAGAAAGTTAGCCAAGGTAGTCAAGAGTAAACGTGAAAAGAAGAAGGCAAGTGTGTGCTGAAGTGCCGACCTACCCGGAGGACTTAGCCCGACTTTCACCAATTTTTCCTCAGTCAAAAAATCCTTCAACCGTAGACCGAGATCTACCAGGAAGCAAATCTCTTCCTTTTTGCTTCTCATTGAGCCTATCCCCAGGGTCACTAATGGTCGTCCTCCAGTGTGTGGGGAAAGGCCATCCCCGGAAGTAGAAACAGTGAAGTACCCTATGCTTCCAAGCCGGGACCTTGTTCGGATACTTGTGAAAAATCTTATACCTAGGTCAATAAGAAATGTAATAACTATCCTTATCTACCCTTGGGAGGCTAGTAGGATTCTTCTTAATGGAGCTAATTGAGGTGAAGATATCTAATTCTAAGGGCATGTCAAAGTCATGGAATACGGAGATGGTCCCAACAATGGTGCAAACATAGTTAGGGTGAAGCTGGTCAAAAGTAATGTTAAAAAACTTGATGACCTCGACGATGAGCGGATGGAGTGGAAAGCGTAGCCCGATAGCTAGTTGCTCCTCAAATACCACTATCTCGTCGTGGTCATGTTCCCAGGGAAACCCTTCTAAATGGATAATATAGCCATAGTCGTTAGGAAACTTAAAATGAGTGGCCAGTGCAGTAACCCTCTCCGCAGACAATGTGGAAGGACCGAAGCAATCTGGACCAGTATTACAAGAAGTTGGAGCCCTTTTACTAGAAGCTTTTCACTCTTGAGCCGAGGTGCCCTCCTTGGCTGGGCTGGACTCTAGGATGTGGGTAGAAGTGGTCGCCTCGTCCAAACCCGACTCTACGTCCTGGGCCGAGGTACCCACCTCGGCCCCACCAGACCCACTGCTCATATCAAACGGGCTACCCATGCTACTAGACATATTGAAACCAAGGAAAGAAAGCAAACAAAGAGGCTAAGGCAAGGAAAGCAACTTACCTAGGACCGAAGAGGTAAGGAAGTGACCTCGAAGACAAGGGCAGATAGCACCACAATATAAGGTGAGGCGAATGGGACCCAAGGCCCCTATTTATAGCCATTGTAATTGACCCTGAACGATCCAGATCAACGCAATCCAAAGGTTCTCATGAAAACCGATTGTACGCCTTCCGAGGTTGAAATCGGTTAAGCGCGCGTTTTGACATCTATGGAGTTTTTAACCTGCATGACGTCTGCGCGTCCCCGATACGCGATCTGGTTTCACGATCGAGCCAGGCGGGTTATTGTGGTCTGACCGCTAGATCAGACATCAACCCGAAGGGAAACCAGGCCAAATCCACCTTAACTCATCATGAACTCCCCGCACTGGATCAGGACCCCTAGCATGAGGAGTAGGGGGCAATTGATGAGGGGTGATTTGGCTTGACCTAGTAAACAGAGGACACATTAGAATTCTAGAAGTATGCCAACTATTTCCGAGCTCTTCGGGATCACGCCACACGACTATGGGACTTATTATCATCCTGCCCGAATCGGGCAGACATGATAGGCCTTATCGGCTAGCTCATTATCCACCTCCCAAGACAGAGCAAACTCCTAACGGCACGGGCCAAGGATCTCGGAGGTGTTTTGTAAGACCCACAGCAGCACGGCTATATAAGGGCATCAGCTCCTGAGACCCAGGTATGCGCAATTTTTGCTTACTAGCTATCTTGCACTCAAACATTCAGTTCACTTACACAACCAGCTACTAACTTAAGCATCAGAGCAACCACACCGGGTTAACCACCCCAGGTTCTCTGAGCTTTCTTCTTTTTGTAGTTCAGCTCAACATCCAAGCCACCGACATCCGAGCTTCCATCCAGCTAGGAGCGACCAGATCGCATATCATCACCAATTGTGAAAAATTCCTTGAGAAACCCAACCCATTATCGCTTCATGAGTGTTTCTCACGTTCTCCAGCAAATAGGGGTGGGTTCGAGCCAAGTCGAGCCAAATAGTACGAAGCTCGAGCTCAGCTCGAGACTGTTCTACAAGGCTCGAGCTCGACTCGAGTCAAAACCTTGAGCTCGAGCTTGGCTCGAGTCAAAAATTTATAAGCTCGAGCTCGATTTTGAGAAAAAATATTTTATAAAAATAAAAAATTATATATATAAATATTTTTTATTTGATATTTAAAAAATTAAGAATTATAATAATTAATAATTATAATATTTTTATTATATATATTATTTTCTATAATTATATTATATTATATTATATATATATGAGCTGGCTTGCAAGCCTCACGAGCCAAGTTCTAGTAGGCTCGAGCTCGACTCGTTTAATAATTGAGCTAGTGAATTGGACTTGAGCTCGAGCTCGAGCTCGAGCTCGGTTGAAACCGAGCCAAGCCGAGCTTTTCACAAGCCAAGCTCGAGCAACTCGTGAAAAGCTAGGCTCATTGCCACCCATACCTGCAAATTTACGCCTCTCCATTGCCTTAATGGCATCTCAGGCTTATCTGGTTTTTCGTCTCTCTTCATCTTGGAAGAGTTGTTGGTAGGAGTTAAATTTGCAGAAGAACGTGAGAAACACTCATGAAGCGATAATGGGTTGGGTTTCTCAAGGAATTTGTCACAATTGGTACTCGCTCTGTTTTCTAGGCATGTTTCTCCACTTAATATCAAAATAATTAAGATTTGAGAGAAAGGAAATGAAGCCTCGGCATGAACATTATCAATCCTTCGTTAAGTTGCTTGCACATACAAATCTTTCACTCATGTGACGCTGACATGGCACAACCCAAGAGGTTGCACAGGAAGATGTATAGAATGAAATGTGCAGGAGATCTAGACTCTCCCACCTTTAGGGGGGTCCAGATGTAGGTTAGGTAAGCACAATGAGCGAGCACGTAATAACTGTGTGACACATGTTCCAGTTAATGTGTTTTTCATCCAAATGTTTTTGTTCCATTAAACAGAAATTACCCATTATTTTATTATCTTTATCAAAATAATTAAAAATAAAAACAATGAAAAAAAAAACCTAAACATGTTGGGAATTGAGATTCATTTACATTTTTCTTTTTCATTATTTTTTATTTTTAATTAATAATGGATAATTTCTGTCTAACCAAACAAAAACGTTTGAATGAAAGCACATTAACGGGAACATGTGTCACACACAGATATGACGAACTCACTCATTGTGTTTATCTAACGTGCCTACTACATCCGGACCCCGTTTAGGGTGCTTCTTCAGAAATCCAATTCAACACAAACACGAGCAGCTGACGTGCATGCGAGAGAGAGTTTCTGTATCAGGATCGATTTTCAATACAGGTCCAACTGCCTGAGTGATAGAACGAAGAAAACCCTCTATGCAGAAGTTGATCGGCAGGGAAGGAAGGTTAATCCAAACCGGCACTACTAATGGCTCCCAACTTGGTTCGAAATTTGGCACCCATTTGAAGAGACGGAAAAGAAAATCCTTTATTTGGAATGCATCACTCAACCAAACTTTCAGATAATCCTCTGCCGAAGCAAAATGAATCAGAATATGTTTGGAGTCCAACGAAGAGACCCAAATTTCATGAGACAACTTATAAGACCTGTAGATGAAATCCCTGATCACTGGTAAAGAAGGACGACCATACAGGCACTTCGTAATCAGAATCCATTTGAAAACCTCATACGATTGAAAGAGAATTTCTTCTAGAAAAAAAAAAACTGTGGATTCACATTGCTTCAGTTCAGTGTTGTAGATCGGCACACCCAGAGAAGGCTAAGAGATTGGAGAGAGTTTAGAAACAGCTGCTGCAAACGAGGGTTTTGGATCACCCTGTCGAGAAGCCATGATCGCAGACTTGGGTTCAGCTCATGACAATTCAATGGTAAACTACATGTACAGCTTATTTAGGTTACTTTCAAAACATAAAAAATTAAATTATTTTGTCCAATTGAAACAATGATTTGTGAAATGGTCTATGGCAATATTATGAATGTTTGGGTCCCATTTGCATTTGTGAAGAACAATCACTCCCCTATCCACATGTATGTCTATCACCAGAGGATTATATTGCTCTTACTGTTGCATCTGAAGGCCTGCACTCTCTGTTATCCA